GATCCACAGGACACAAGACAGCCCCAAATACCACAAGAAAGACAGGCCACCTGAAAAAAATAGATTCACGATTAACCATCCCTCCCTTCCATATCGAATACGGCTTAAAGGAAGGATAAAACCGGGACAACAAAAGCACCACAAGGGCATCCTGTTGACACGTAATTCAACAAACACCCAACATACACTGAAGAAACTACTATAAAAACAAAGCACAACCAGCCAAAACCCCACCCACAACCCACACCAGCTACCGCAACCTCACCCCACTCCTGAACGCTATGGACTAGACCCATGCACACAAGTTCAGCCCCTTACCGCAAGGTTTATAATGCAACATTAAAAGCTTAAGGAGAAAGACGTTCCCTCCAACCCCCCTCTTCTTTTATGTACCTCAACCCACCCCAAAACCAACAAAACTCCTACGACACATAACAACCTCAGCCCCTCACAGGCAACGAGCCAACCAACTCATGCCCCAGGTAAAGACAGAACCAAACCTAACTCCTGTACATACCGTTGTTCCAACAGAAACGCACTAAGACCCTGCAAACGCAAACCTAAGGGTCATTTGCAAATACAAGAACCATATTATGAACAAAATAGACTTGCAAAGCAACGGTTTAGAAGCCCCAGGCAACAACCTACCTATCTAATTTCCATAGGCAGCATTGTTTAACGGCATAGTATGTTAGGCTACATTACTTACAAAGCAATAGCTCATTGTTACCACAAAGAGAATAATGTTACTAAATCAGATCTACAATGTAAACATTTTGTACCCCCATCCCAAAAGGAAAACACGGACACAAATAAAGAATTTTTTTTTAAAATACTCTTAAATTCTTTATTCCTCTTTATTCCTACCTGAATAATTAAACATTAATGGGACTTCATTCGTCTTATTCTTGGTTTGGTTGTTCTTTCTTTTACCATTTTTTAGGAGATCTTCCCTATTTAATATTTTAACCTCCTTAAATATCTTATCCAATATAGCTTTTGGGTAGGGTTTAGCTGTGAAATCGCTAACTAGTTTATTCGCTTGAATCTCATATGATTCAATATTGTTACAATTCCTTCTGATCCTCATCATTTGTCCATTAGGGATGTTATCCAACCAGGGACCATAGTGACAGCTATCAAAAAAATTATGTAGTTGTGGTTGAGATTAGAGGTCTCAGATTTGGAGTAGATAGTATGGCTAGAGATCCTACTCTACTGGAAATGACAGGGCTCCCACTAAAGAAAAACAAAATGCAGAATGAGAGTAAGGTATTAGATATAATCTAATGAGTATCCAGGAGTAGTGAATAATATCTACCTTTAAAGGTAAGAGCAGTGTTCCATAAATGTGTACAACAAAATATTTATAAGACGGTATATAACTTGATAAAACTTGATAAAACTTAATGCAAATCTATTAAAATACCAATATATGAAATAGCTGCAGTCTCAGTTTGATAGAAGTATCAAAACAATATGTTGATACAGTCTGTGCAGTGTTAGCTAGTAGACCAGCTGGGGTTTATCTACTGAATGAGCTATTTTTATATAGTACAATAACAGTGAGATCTTCTTCAATTGGTGTGGTATCAACCATTGATACCATACCAATTGAAGAAGATATCACTTTCTAGCAATTTAAACCTGTTTTTAAAAACAAACACATATAAATTGGCAGCTGTAGACAAAGCACCTTCCAACCAGTAGTAATATGGTATACACATACACACATCAATCTGCCTGGCTGGCAACATTCCAGCCTATCACAGCACAGTATGCAAATTCACAATTAAACCAACATATAAAGATCTAAAGAAGACACAAAGGGGCACAGTCATCTAAAGGGACAATGTAACAAAATGTTATTTAGGATACCAATACAAACAGAATTCAAGTGAGAATTGAAAGTGAATTTTAAATTGAAGGCCAAAATAGCCAAACTGGAAACATTATCTTACTCGAGCTACGATTCCATTTCAGTTACTATGGCCTAAAGTTTAAAATTCACTTTGAATTCTCACTTTAGTGAACAACGCAGGAATTTAAATTGAACTTGAAGGGTAAAATCAAGTTATATTTGGTGCCTTTAAACCTGCAGTGATTGTCCTCCTCTGTGACATCCTATGACATCAGAGCTGCACCAGGACTCAGCTACTAGTGCTGTCACTGTGAAAGCTCTGGACATAGTGTGCAGGAAATTGCTGCAGGTGTCCTGAGAGACAGAGTTATTTCAGGTACCAGACGCTAAAACTTGATATTGTACAGAAGAAGAAGGGTTTCCACACCGAGCAATTCACGTTTTTTGTTAAGCGGAATTGATCAGGTAAAACAATGGAGCCTGACTTCCCACTGACAGCGCATAGCATACGTCTGGCAACCAGACCTGTTAATGGCAAAATTAACCTCTCGGTTCCTATCCCCAAAACAAGGAACCCCAGCTTAAGCTCTTCGAGGACTATTTCAGTCAATGTAAGCCAGAAAGTGCTCACAAACAAACACAAAATCGATTCTGAGAGGAAATACATCTTATCCAACTCAACTGAAGGTAAAGTGTTGCAGGCTTTCAAACTGCCACTTGCTGCCAAAATGAACCTTTCAGGTCCTACCTCCAACACAAAGGACTCTGAGAGACAGAAGGTGCTCACAAAAAGGACAAAAATGTATTCTGAGAAGAAACACGACTTACCCAGCTTGACTCAAGGTGAAATGTCATTGATCTCTACACCACCACTTCCTGCCAAAAAGGACCTTGTGAGTCCTAACTCCAGCAGAGGGAACACCAGCATTTTCAGCTCAAAGAAACCGTCTGTCAATAATAAACAGAAAGTGCTCACCAATACACCAAAACTTGATTCTGAGAGGGAACATTTTCAACCCAGCTTGACTGAAGATAAAGTGTTGCTGGTCCCCAAACCTCCAGGGAAGGATTATTGTAATCCAAAATTAATGAAGCCTTTAAATTTGAAAAAAGAGAAGGATACATTTTTCAAATCGAACTTTATGTATAACCCTCAGTTTCAATATAACAAAACTGCTGTGCCATCTGCCTCAGCCCAGCACAGTCATGCCTCCAACAGATTTCTTCAAGTGGCCATTAATATCATACAAAACACACTCAAGAAATATAACAATTATGAAAATTATGAACAAGCTACAGGAGGAAATCTTCTACCAGCAAAGCAGATCTATCAGGAAGTACACAAATACATGGAGACTGAAGGTTGTCAAGGGGAGATTGCTGTTAATCTCACTGAAGATGTAATATCACAAGCCTCTATGGGAACTGTGAAAAGGCAACCAACAATGACAATAAATGTCTCTATGGCACGAGAAAAGTGGCTTCAAGGTACACTGAGACATGAGATTGGAACTCATTATTTTAGAACAGTCAACAATAATAAACAGCCATGGAATAACAGCAAAGGTCGAGAAAAGTATGGTCTGGAACCAGCAAATCCAACTGAAGAAGGACTGGCAACCATCCACAGCCTTTTATATCATCCTGATCCCGATTTGTGCAGAGTTGCCCTCCTGTACTATACCATCTACAAAGCAAGCTCAATGTCCTTCAGTGAACTATTTGAGCATTTGAAAATATTTGTCAGAGACCCAGAAGCCAGATGGTATTATTGTGTCCGAGCAAAGAGGGGCTTGACAGACACATCACAGCCAGGATGTTGTAATAAGGATCAGGTGTACCTTGAAGGTGTTCTACAAATCCTAAGACGCAGACATACCATAGATTTCAAGCTGCTAATGGCAATGGGAAAGGTTTCCTACGAGGATATAAACCGTCTAAAAAAGACTGCCGTGCTTAGTAAGCCGAGGCTCCCTCAATTTCTCAAAGACAGGAACCAATACATGATGCGTCTGGAAAAGATAATGCAAGTCAACGAACTAACAGACACTTTACTAAAAACGCTTGTCGATTGAGCGGGGAATGTTAAGACCATCGGGCAGATCTACATAGTGTAGCATAAAGTTTCCCAGGATACTGTCAAATTCCACCATCCTGCAAACCCTGGCCGCCTACCAACAATC